ACCCTTTACCTGCCCCATCGATGAAGAAGCAAGATTCCATAAAACTTAAAGGACTAAAAGCATCTCAAATCATATAAGCAAGAGGAAGTATTAGTACAGCTGATTTTCATGAAGTTTACAATAGTTCAATTAATGCATGCAATTAATTACTAATTTTTTAAAAGACTCCATAAATCTTTGATTTCTATACGTGATGCTGTAGAAGGAATGGTAAATAGCCTGATTGGAAAAAGAATTTTTTTCACGTTGAATTAAGTTCATTTTTACAGAGTATAAGAAAAAATAATAAATTGAAGAATCTATCAAGATTGTCCATTTAGTATTAATGCTTATTAGTATTGGTTTTGTATTATATTCAATCACTGTTACATGTTAAGAGTCTAAAACATCTGAGGTTAATTACTAGTTAAGGATCTACCATCTGATCCATTAGTGTAGCTGATAAGAAGGTGATCAGATACAGGGTTTAAATTAGGCATCCCTAGCATCACCAAAGTGATCAGGAACGTGGATTTTCTTAAGCGAGGATGAAGATCTTTTGGGGACTGTAAGTGCAATTAGTGTCAGCAAGTTCACCAAAGAACCAAAAATAATGTAGTCTCATCCCCCTGAGGATGTAGAGGGATGTTTGTGGAGAGCATGGTCACTGTAGAATTGAGGCCACAAATATCATCACTATATAGTACATTAGGGTGTAAGCAAAGGCAGTGGCCCTATTCCACTAACTCCAGCCTGACGTTAGAGCTGCATTCAGCCAATAAATTTTTATTCAATCCCTACTATGTGCTATGTGTGGGAAATGCAAGAGGAAATAACAGCAAAAACAACTAGTTGTTATCAGACCTGGCTTATATTTTTGACAAATAAAATTCTGATTACTTGTTGAAATGAAAGACAACGCACTAGGATTAGAAAATTCAGATTCAAATTCTATGCCCTTAGTCTGCAATCTCTTGTTATGTAACATTGGGTAAGTGATGAAATTCTTCAAATGTTTTGAATCTGTGAAACAGACATAATATTTTCTACCTCATAAGGCTGTGAGGATTCAGTTTAATAATACACATGAAAATGTTCCATATTATATAACCAGTTACTAATTATTGTTCTTTTAGTATTGCTGGTTCCTATGAGACAGAGCAGGATTGTGGTTAAGAGGGCAGGGCTGCCTGGCCGGTGTTGCTCAGTGGTTGAGTGTTGATCCATGAACCAGGAGGTCATGGTTTGATTCCCACTCAGGGCACATGCCCAGGTTTTGGGTTCGATCGCCAGTAGGGGCCATGCAAGAGAAACATTATTGATGTCTTTATCCCTCTCGCCCTCTCCCTCTTTCTGAAATTAGTACAAACATATTTTGTAAAAAAAAAAAAAAAAAGGGGCAGGACTTTCTCAGCTGGATTTTTACTCTGCCACTCACAAATCTGTTGTGAGGATAAAATGAGTTAATATATGTAAAATATTTAGAATAGTGTCTTGCACATAATTAGCACTCAATAAATATTAGTCATTATTATTTATGAAGGAGACTTATATAGTAGAATCTTTCTCTTTTAAATTTCTATTACTTTTTTACACAGACCCTTTATTGCTTAACCAATTCACAGTATTTACTAACCTCTCCCCAGTAACCAGAAGCAGATTTCACAACTAAATATAAACATTTCTAGTAGACAAGACTTGCGTTGTCACAAAAATCAGGGTTGTTATTTGTTGCAGACCTGTTAATAAATGAATAAGGTTGAAAATGACCTCAATAAGTGCATAACTGTCAGACATGAAATGTGAAATATGTTTTACATCTTTCAAAGCTACTTTCTGGATAAACAAATTTGTAAAAATCCTAAGAATGAATATTTAACTCTGACAACTCTTATCAAATGTTAACAATTTCCAGATAAGGTCCAAATCTCTTCAATATATGAAACACTGATGGTATTTTATTCCTTTTGTTTCTTAGTTTCCTTTAATAAACTGTGTATTTAATTGCTCATGATGACTGAAATTCATTTATTAATATTACTAAAATTTATTAGCATTCATGGATGGTTAACTTAATTGGTTCACATTAATCATGATTGGATGCCATTATGGATGTGTGAACTTTGCCCCATTTAACAGTTATGACCTATATTCCCTATCAATTATCTATGTCCTCACAAATACATCACATTCATTACCCTGAGAAAAAGCTATATCTTCAAGGGAAAGGTATTATTTACAGTAAAGATAAAGTGACATAATTAACAGTTGCTACATACGATGGCTTGAAGAACATAGAGGGTTTTTTTTTCTCTTACAACAAGGGCAGCTTGGCTCCCTGAGATCATTCAAAGATCCATCAGTGTTTTCCTTCAGTTTGCACAAGCACCCTGAGAGCATTATTGCCATCGGTCAAAGTTGCCCCCTATCAAGTTTCCTCCCACTGGAACGAGAAAAGAAGACATGAAGCCTGCCCAGTGTCCTAAGGCTGAGGCCAAGTAGTGGCATTTCTCACTTCTCACATTCTATGGCTGCACCTAACCCCAAAGGACACTGGGAAATTTGGTCTAGCTGTGCCCAGAAAAAGAAGGAAAATGGATTTTGCAGTTTCCACTAAATATATTATTTTGTTGATTTGCAGAACTATATCACCAAGATAATCTATTTCAATAAACTTTTTCTTTCATGGATTCACAGCAACTTAAACCTGCTTTCCTATTCTGTTGGATTGCTATTTTGTCATGCTGCGTGCCAAGCAAAACTCGTGGTTGGGAGTGAAGTACTCAATGATTTGGGCTAAGCCTTTTACAAACTACCTATCCTGATTCACCAAACATTAGCCTATCATACTTGGGTTAATTTTATACACCACTCCTATTGTTTTGGGAATGTTTGTCCTGTAGGAGAGCCTCTTCTTTCAAAAGTAAGCCCACCTGGGGATTATGGTAATCTTTGTTCATGATTAAAATTTCTCTGTCCTTGTTGCTTTGTATTTTACCTTTCCCAGTAGCTTAATCCACATGCCATGGTTTTGTGATGAACTCTGAATATGGAATCTGAGAGTCAGTTTCATGAGCCTCATCTGAACGTAAGGCACGTCTCTTTGTTTCACTTAAAATTTCTGCAGTAGCAGTGATTACCTCGCCTTTGGTTTTGTTCACTGAGCAAAGAATTTTCTTTTGAGTTTTTTTCTCCCCTTTCTTTCTTAATTGGTGTGCTCTGGTGGTTGATTTTGTGGATTTTTTTGGGGGGGGGTGGGAGGTGGGGATTGGGAGGTTCAAAGTATTGACCAGTGATTCATAAAACTGATTTTCTTTTTTCCTTGCAATTAAAATAAGCAGTGACATTTAGCTATCTACAAACACTGGCCCTACTGTCCTGAGTGTTAAGATAACTGATTAGTTCCGCAGTCATGGCGAACACCTCCCAGCATTCACCTATAATGGGCCATAAACTTGAAAGCCTTCGAGGCCTCTTTCCTGGTGCCCGGGTGAGGCTTGCAGAGTGGAGGAGGGGCACCAAGCCCAGCGGAGAATGAGTGAGAAACACGGACAGAATCACAGGGGGATGGGGAAAAAAGAACTTAAGAGGATTATGACAAGAAAGGAAGCATTTGGAGTCCTGGGAGGTGATGCCAGTCAGGATCTCTGAGTTGCTAAGAAAAGAGAAAATTTCCCCATCCACATGTAGGCCTTGGGCAAGGAATTTGCGTCCTTCTCAGATCCCTTTCCACCGCCCTCCCTGAGAAGTGATGGCCCTGGGCGGCCAACCCCTCCAAAGAAGGAAGCGTCCTGGGAAAGGTGGCTTTCACTCCATTTTCATGGGGTAGGAAAAGATGATCAGGATACATCTGAGAAGGCAGACCAACATGACTCGGAGTGGAATGTAGAAAATTGCTATTGAACAGTGGCTATTCAATTTAGCGCCTTCTAAGAAGGGCTTTTCCACAAAAAGCCTTGGACTTTCTGAAGGAAGGTCAGGCAACATAGATCATTTAAATGAAGATTTTAATCTTGAAGTGTGTTTTGATCATATTAGATTGTATAGGTCTCTCTCTCCTCCTCCCCATGAACATGTTGCAAATATTCAGTGCTAGACAATTTTGAATTTTTTAAAATTACTAGGCTTGTTGCTGATCACATAATTTTCTCTCATGAGTCTATTTCCAATGCCTATAATTTAAACAAATTGGCAAATATATTTAAAATTCTAAATATATATAGATGCTCTTTGTAGACGTGGGAACTCTATTCTTTTCTTAAATAACGGGAAATTTGCAGATAATTTATTTAAGAATAATGCCAAATGCTTTAATGGAAGCCAATTCATAAATAGTCATGGTATTTTAATGTCCTACAAAATTATTTTGAAGGCCTGAGACAGCAGCAAAGAGATAACTGTTAAACACATCCTTTGATAACAGCAGAGCTTTGCGGTACAGAGAATTCCACAAGTAGCCAACAACTAAAGGAATCCGCAGGGAAAAAAAATCCTTGTTTGTGACCATCACACCAACAGACATGTGTCTGTATGAATGACCATCTTTTCTAGGGTGTTTTTGTTTTGTTTTGTTTTTTTAAATTAGGACTTTATTTTTTTAGAGCAGTGTTTTTTAGGTTCACAGAAAAATTGAGACAAAGGTACAGAGATTTCTCATATACCCCGTGCCCCCACACATGCATATTTTCTCTATTATCAGCATCTCCCACTAGTGTGGCACCTTTGTTAGAATTGATGAACCTGCATTAACACATCATAATCACCCAAAGCCCATAGTTTACATTTACAATTCACTCTTCCAGTCATATAATCTATGAGTTTTGACAAATATATGCACATACAGCAATCACTGTGATATCCTACAAAATATTTTCGTTGTGTAAAAATTCTCTGTGTTAAGACCATTCATCCTTCCTTCCCTTTCCCTCCCCCCTCCCCCTGGAAACCACTGAACTTCTGTCTCCATAGTTTTGGCTTTTCAATAATGCCCTGTTGTTGGGATTATACAATATGTAGCCCTTTCAGGCTGGCTTCTTTCACGTAGTAATATGCATTTACAGTTTCTCCATGTCTTTTCAAGGCTTGATAGCTCATTTCTTTTTAGTGTTGAATAATGTTCCATTGTTTGGATGTACCACAGTGTAGTTATCCATTCACCTACTGAAGGACATCTTGATTGCTTCTAAGTTTTGGCAATTATGAATAAAGCTGCTATAAGCATTCATGTGCAGATTGTTATTGGACATAAGTTTTTAACTCCTTTGGGTAAATCCAAGGAGCATGATGGCTGGATTGTATGGTAACAGTATGGTTAGTTTGTAAGCAACCACCAAACTGTCTTCCAAAGTAGCTGTACATTTCATATTCCTACCAACAATGAGAGTTCTTGTTGCTTTACATCTCATTAGCATTCGGTGTTGTCAGTTTTCTGAATTTCGGCCGTTTAAATAGGTATGTAGTGGTATCTCATTGATGTTTTAATTTGCATTTACCTGATGACATGGAGCATTTTTCATATGCTTCTTTGCCATGTGTATATCTTCTTTGGTTAGGTGTCTGTTAAGGTCCTTGGCCCATTTATTAATTGGGTTGTTCGTTTTCTTATTGTGGAGTTTGAAGAGTTCTGTATATTTTTTGGATAACAGTTCCTTTATCAGTTGTGTCTTTTGCAAATATTTCTTCTTGTCTGTGCTTGTGTTCTCTCAGCATTGTCTCCTGCAGAGAAGTTTTAATTTTAATGACGTTTGTTTATCGATTATTTCTTTCATGGATTGTTCTTTTGGTAGTGTATATAAAAAGTCATCACCATACCCGAAGTCATCTAAGTTTTCTCCTATGTTATCTTCTAGGAGTTTTATAGTTTTGTCTCTTTCTATTTTTTTTAAAATATATTTTATTGATTTTTTTACAGAGAGGAAGGGAGAGCGATAGAGAGTTAGAAACATTGATGAGCGAGAAACATCAATGAGCTGCCTCCTGCGCGCCCCCTACTGGGGATGTGCCTGCAGCCAAGGTACATGCCCTTGACCGGAATCGAGCCTGGGACCCTTGAGTCCGCAGGCTGACGCTCAATCCACTGAGCCAAACCGGTTAGGGCTTGTCTCTTTCTATTGGTTGTAGTATTGGAGTTTATAGTTTTAGGTCTGTAGTCCACTACCAGTGTCTTATGTCCATTGGTTATGCTTATATGCATGCATACAAGTCCTTTGGTTGATCTCTTACCCTCCTACCTCCCGCCCCCGAACCCTCCCCGGCCTTCCCGCTGCAGTTTGACACTCTGTTTGAGGCAGCTCTGCCTCTGTATCTATTATTGGTCAAAAGTTTATAATGGTCTCAATTATCCATGAATGAGTGAGATCATGTGGTATTTTTCCTTCATTGACTGGCTTATTTCACTTAGCATATTTTTTTATTTTTCTCTAATTTATTTCACTTAGCATATGCCCTCAAGGTCTATCCATGTTGTCACCAGTGGTAAAATTTCTTTTTTTCCTCCCCAGTTTCTTTTTTTTAAAAAAAAATCTTTATTGTTGAGATTATTACAGATGTCCCTCTCTCCCCTCCCCCAACCCCCCATTGCCTCCAGTGGGGACCCGCACCCTGATCCAGGACCCCCTTCAGGGCAAACCAGCCGGCTCCCACCCTTGCACCAGGCCTCTATCCTATATAATAAAAGGGTAATATGCAAATTGACCCTAACAGCAGAGCAACTGGGAATCACTGGTCACTAGGACACACGCTGACCACCAGGGGGCAGATGCTCAATGCAGGAGATGCCCTCTGGTGGTCAGTGTGCTCCCACATGGGGGAGCTCTGCTCAGCCACAAGCCAGGCTGATGGCTGCCAGCACAGGGGTGATGGTGGGAGGCTCTCCTGCCTCCTCAGCAGTGCTAAGGATGTCCAACTGCAGCTTAGGTCTGCTCCCCGCTGGCAAGTGGGCTTCCTCCAAGGGCTGCTGGGCTGCGAGAGGGATGTCTGATTGCCAGCTTAGGCCCAATACCCTGGAGAGCAGGCCTAAGCCAGCAGGTGGTCATCTCCTGAGTGGTCCCAGACTGCGAGAGGGCACAGGCTGGGGTGAGGGACCCCCCCCACCCCAAGTGCACAAATATTTGTGCACCGGGCTTCTAGTATGCATATAATATCTTTGTTTAATCTTTTCCCACCCCCTACCCACTTCCCTCTGACAATCGTCAGTCTGTTCCATTTCCATGCCTCTGATTCTGTTTTATTCACCAGTTTATTCTGTTCATTAGATTTCTTATTCATTTATTTTGATTTTTAGATTCAGTTGTTGATAGGTGTGTATTTGTTGCCATTTTGTTGAGTGGTCATCTATCAAATCCCTGTTGGCACCTACTTAATGGTCTGCACTACACTTGTATACTAATAACATGCGGGTAATAAGGCATGACAGTGCTGGTTCAGGGAGGCCCTTGATTACAAATTTATCAACTTGGTTGCAGTAGTTGTAGCCACAGGACATTGTCATCAGTGCATTGTACTTGATCAGCACTGAGGCTGAGGGTTTCAGCTGAGGTTGGAGATGGAACAAGGAGCACTTCTAGCTCTTCCCATGGTGGGATCTGGCCCCAGCCTCTCACTTTTCTCATTTTATCTTGTATAATTTCGTCCTGGCTCACTCTGCTCTCGCCTCACCACCTTACTTCTGCTCCTTAAATGGGCAAGCTACTTTGCACTAGCTGTTTGCAGTAATCTCAGATTTTCCAGTGCAGAACTCACTTCAGCCCATCAAGAAATCCAACTCTAAAGTCACCTTCTCAGAAAGGTCTTCTGTAACTAGTGTGGCAGTTCCATCTCTCATCCCCAGTTATGATAAAATTACTCTTTTATTTTTTTCATAACATTAGTCACTCTCTAGAAAGTATCTCTATTATCCTTTTTTTCCTTTGATGGCATCCCCTATGAGATGTAAGCGTCAAGAGAGCTGGAACTTAGTAGGAACCTGATAAGTGTCTGTTTAATGAATGAATGAAAAGAATTCCCATCCAGAGCAAACCTTTTTAACCCTATCCTTGCTTTTCTCAGCCATCACATTGGACCTTCCATGCCCAATAATTCATTGGACCTTCCATGCCCTTCCATTCATTTTTCAGACACAAATCTAAATTTAAACAGGTGTAATGTAAACAGACTCTGATCCTTCTTCAGATGAGGAGTCACAAGTCCAGCCCTGGGTTCTGTAGACCCTTCTCCTCATCAGGATAGAGTCTTGTAGGCTGTTCTGAGATCTGAGATTCTGTATTCCCAATTGACCTTGAGACTCTTCACTGGTCCTAGGTCACAGTTATGCCCTCCTCTATTGGTCCTAGGTGTCAGGACTTTTTGCTGCTTGTTTTCTAACCACTTCTCTCTCTCTCCCAATCTCTCTGAAGCCCTGCCCTTTGCAAGGATGTCCAGTTCCACATGAACAAAATGCCTAGATGACAACCATCTGCCATCCACTGGCTCTCTCTCCTTCCTAACAATCTCTGCTCCCCTTCCCCATCCCTACCCAGTTTAATTATGCTTAGCAGTCCAGAAAGTGCCCATAGGCTGGGGAAAAGCAATGCTATTACTCAAGGCTGCTCAGGATTGCTTGCCCTTTGGAGAGAAGAAAAACAGCAAAGCTTGAAGTTCTTGCTTTACTTTCAGAGTAAGCATTTCTTGTGTTGTATATATTTTATTTTATGAGCAGTGAATACATGCAGCATTGATATGATCAGAAAAGTCTAACAAATTGACATTGGGATTTCTGATGTCTCTCCCTCTCGCTTCCTTTTTGTTTATGCTTGTACCTTAAGAATCTAAATGTAGGAATTCTGATAACTTTCCTAAAATCCAACTGGTCTTGATAATCATGCCCTTTGTGGACTACATGCTCTATGGCATCTGGTGCCAGCAGGTGGGAGGGAAGAAGGTAAATTTAAGGTATATATTCTATCTCCCTTGCTGCTGAGTTTCCATCCAGGCCACAGCTCTTGCCTCAAGGATTTCCACAACTACAGCTGCTCCTTCTGGGCCCTAGTACCTGCTCTCCCTCTTTCCCCATCAGGTCTAAAGGAGGGCATAGTACTCCACTGTTACTACCCTGCCTCATCCATTGGTTCCTCTTTTCCTGCACCACTATAAATGGTCACTTTATAAGCCTTTTCCAGTGATCTTTACAAATGAGTCAGTTGTTCTGCTGAGACCCTGATTACATGGGATATGAATTAGGATAAAAGTATTAGTGTATTGGGCATTATATATGTGTAAACATTTATAAGACAATAGGACTAGATGAAGTGTTCTTAGACATGACACCAAAAGCACAATCCATATAAGAAAAAAAGTAATAAATTGGGCTTCCTCAAAAACTTTTGCTCAATGAAATACCCTGTTGAGAGGATAAACAGACAAACTTCAAGTGCAACAAAGACATTAGTAGACTATTTGTTAACCATACCCAAGGGCAAAGCCACAACACCACTTTACTATTAGTCATATGTCATTGCTAAGCTGTGTCAATAATTGTTAAATTGGCAAAATAGCTAAAATCAAGATCCCAATATTCTCTATGGGAATAGTTTATTTTCAATTGTTGTTTAACTTAAAAACTTAAACTTTTACAAAATGGGTTTTTCATATATTATCTCTTTGTGGAAGCATTTCTAAGAAAGAATATGAAATCTATAGAAAAATTTCTTACTCTACAAATGTAAAATTTCTACTTTAAAATGCTAGTTATTTGCTCCTTCAGAATATTCAAACTTGTACAGAGACTTCACCTATCATCCAGGAGCCCTGAGCACACTTTCAGAGAGTTACTAAAGAGATGTCACCGTTCAGTTTAACGCCCCTCTGCATGGTGAAATCAGGGTTCTCTACACCCCGAGAAACTAACTCTCCACCCAGCTGTAATCTTCTCTTGGGTCATAGCTGTTGTGGTTGCCAGCTTTGATACTTCTCTTCTGTGATGGTCAAAACCACAGCTCTTACAAATATGCTATGAAGAGTTGTACACAGGAGTGGCAGATACACCAACTGAGCAGTGTGGGGTATGAGAGAGGCTCTAGCTGGTACCAATTCGTTCTCATTCAAGGTGACAAGCTTCTCGCATTGGTTACTAATCCAGGGAACTTGATGTTTGAACAAGGTAGAAGATGGGCAACATTTCAGATATCTCATCAATTCAACTAAAAAGGGGAGACACCAGTCTGATTTCATTAAACCTTAGAAATATATGCAGTACTTCTTCAAAAGCTAATGTAATATTTCAATATAACTTTTCAAAAACTCATAGGAAAATATGAATAGCATTTCAGGCACTTTTATATGCTACTTTCATGTAAAAAATTCCTTGAAAATTTTTAGAAAGACCAAAAAAAATGTTCTCAAAGACTGGGGTGCAAGGTTTGCCTGCACTGCCATGTTCAGGAATGCTCCTTCAGTGTTTTATGCTAATGTGCTTTCCAAAATATGTTAAATATTTCCTTTGCAATCTTTATCTTGTCTTCTGGAGACACATGAATTCCTCTTTTTTATATACTCATGTTTTAAATAACATCCAAGTTATAAATAACATAGTTTATAAGTGAACAAACAACCCAAAACTTAATAAGAGTTGCTATCTTCTCATTTTATAGATTAAAGAGATGACATAGTGGAAGGATACCTGGATTTGGATAGAGGCATCTTTGTCACCTGTGTGACTCAGTAAGTCTTGGTTTTCTTACTAGTAAAATCTACCAGGTTATAGATTTCTGGAAGAATGAATGAAATCTTAACTGTGGAAGTGATTTGCAATGTAAAAGACTTACATTAGGACTAACTCAATGATCGAAGTTAGTGGTACTAACAGAGATTGGATTTAGGTCTTCCCAAATGTGGTTCATTGATTTATCCTGTAGATTTGTTCCATATTTAATTTTCTTGCTCATCTTTTAACATTTTCT